ACATAGTAACGCATTAGGCAAGATGACATGATGTACAAGGGATAAACTCAAGCAATATGATATAAACCCCATCTTTTTATCCTCGATGGCAACAATACAATACGTACCTTGCTGCCCCTGTTGTCACTGGAAAAGGACACCGCAAGATTGAAACCAAAGCTAAGCACTTCTCCCATTGCAAGAAAGATCAATCTACTAGGCCAAACCAAACTGATAATTTGAAGAGACTTGCAAAGATAACCAATCATGCATAAAAGAATTCAGAGGAGATTCAAATATTGTTCATAGATAATCTTTATCATAAACCCACAATTCACCGGATCTCGACAAACACACCGCAAAAAGAATTACATCGAATATACCTCCAAGAAGATCGAGGAGAACTTTGTATTGAGAATCAAAGAGAGAGAAGAAGTCATCTAGATAATAACTATGGACCCGAAGGTCTGTGGTAAACTACTCACACTTCATCGGAGAGGCTATGGTGTTGATGTAGAAGCCCTCCGTGATCGATTCCCCCTCCAGAGGAGCGCCGGAAAAGGCCCCAAGATGGGATCTCACGGGTACAGAAGGTTGCGGCAGTGGAAATAGGGTCTCATGGTGCTCCTGGATGTTTTCAGGGTATATGGATATATATAGGCGAAGGAAGTCGGTCAGGTGAGCCACGAGCGGCCCACGAGCGTGGGGGGCACGCCCACCCCCTGGGGCGCGCCTCTCTGCCTCATGGCCGCCTTGTTTCTTTCTTGACGTCCACTCCAAGTCTCCTGGATTGCGTTTGTTCCAAAAATAACTCTCCTGAAGGTTTCACTCCGTTTGGACTCCGTTTGATATTCCTTTTCTGCGAAACACTGAAATAGGCAAAAAAATCGCAATTTGGGCTGGGCCTCCGGTTAATAGGTTAGTCCCAAAAATAATATAAAGGTGCTTAGTAAAGCCCATTAAACATCCAAAACAGGTAATATAATAGCATGGAAGAATAAAAAATTATAGATACGTTGGAGACGTATCAGGCAGCCCAACTGTAGAAGCGTCGAGGCCACTAATTAATATTTCTTGTTGTGATTAGCTAGCTAGGTCTATGTTTGCCACTAATATATCCATCTCTCATGTTTGTATATTAATTGTCATGTTGTAATATTTGCAGAAACTATGGATCAACAAAGAGACTTGGAACAAGAAGAGTTCTTGGGGGACATAATTCACAACGGACGTGATGTCTTGTCATTTCTCAACGACACCGATGGTCTGGAAGGAGAGGAAGTAGGCTACGGTGATCGAACAATGGAGGAGGAGAGTCATGATCATGATGGCTCCGGCGACCGAATGCCGGTGGAAGAAGGAGACGATGATGACGGCTCCGGTGACCGAACGGAGTCGGGATCAACTGTTGCAAAGTCCAATGAGGTATATATATATATATATATATATATGTGTGTGTGTGTGTGTGTGTGTGTGTGTGTGTGTGTGTGTTAATTAAGCCTGTGCTGACTAGCTAATTGATGCATTAATTGTTTTGGTATGTACATATATTAACTCTTCTTTCTTCTTTTATAGCCCTCCAGATCGAGCTAAACTTTGGTAACGAGACGAGGCCCGAAGAAAAGGTTGCGCATGGATGAATGGTTCACAATCACAGCAATCGCGAACGATGGCCAACTGATTGAACCCACGCAGACCAAGGATGCATTTTTTGCTCAATGCGGAGCTATTGTTAGGGCCAGCATCCTGATCAGCCTCCAGCTATGGAATAAGCCTAAGAAAGAAGACCCTCAAGTTTCTTATGTCACTGATAGAGAGAAAGATGATCTTTGGACCTCGCTGAAGGCAAATTTCACCCTACCGTCAGAGGAGGATCCGAATAAGCAGTTATAGAGCCACTGGTCAAGTCGTATGCTCTTAAGAAGATGGCAGAGCTATTCAGGAGGTGGAAGAAAGAGTTGTAATCAAAGTTTGTCGACAAAGGGAAGACTCCAGAATTCATCGGCTGATTTGAGAAGATAAGAGATCATTGGCCCGCATTTGTGGTCTACAAGACATCTGGCAAGAGTAAGAAGATGTCAAAGATAAACAAGATAACTGCTGCAAAGAAGCAGTGGCACCATCGCACGGGGTCAGGCGGCTACCTCAAAGCCCGACCGTTGTGGGACAAAGCTGAGCAGGACCTGATTGCTAAAGGGGTCGAACCAGAGACATTGAACTGGCCTGACCATTCATGGACTTGTTTCTTCGGGGTTGGGGGAACTTTGGACCCTGAAGCAGGGAAGTGCCATTGGACGGACAAGCAACTTGCAACACCCATCACGAAGCTTCAGGCAGCAATCAAGGCAGTGCAGGAAGGGACGTTCATTCCCGACAGAGAGAATGATGAGCTGACTGAGGCCCTCGGGAATCCTGAGCACCCTGAACGAACACGAGGCATGCTAGGCTCCATTGCGTGGAAGATTGGGTTTCCCGATACATCCGGTTACAAAACCAAGGAGAGGAAGAGGAAACAGGAGCTGAGCGATATACGGAAGCTCAATGCAAGAGTACTGAAGCTAGAGGAACAACTTGAGAGCCAGCGAGCTGCCGACCAACCATCTCAGCGGCACGAAGCTACCCTTGAAGCTACCCCGCCAACTCACCAGAGAAGCAGCGTGGCTTCCACGGAGCTAGTTCAATAGCCTAACTTCACGGCTCCTAGCTACCCCGTGGATACTATCACGGAGGCTCAACATTGCCAGCTTATGACGAAATGACAAAACATCACCTTAAAGGCGGCTGTCGGCACTGTTCCACCTCCTCAACCCGAAGGAACTTTTCACTGCCGTCTGATTCCATAGGGCTATGCTGTTGTGATGGCGGGTGAAGTAATGGAGGGATTTGAGGAGCTCGAGCTTGACCACCCTACAGGTGAAGGGGAGATTCAGCTGGGTCTTGCTCTGAAGACTCCATGTCTATGGCAGAAGGAGTACATCAAGCTTCCAAAGTGGACGCCTCCACCTCCTCCTCCTCCTCCGGCGAGTCAGGGCACTCCGCCTCCTCCTCTGCCTCCTCCTCCGGCTAGTTATCAGGGCTCTCCTCCTCCTCTGGCGCGTGAAGGCACTCCGACTCCTTCTTTGCCTCCTCCGACAAGCACTCCACCTCCTCCGAAGCGTGAGGGCACTATGGCTCCTCCGCCTCCTCCGGCGCGTCGGAGCACTCCACCTCCTCCGGCGCGTTAGAGCACTCCGCCTCCTCCGGCACGTCAGCCGACTCCGTCGCGTCATTAATGGCGGAAGAGAGAGACCGCCGCTCCGGCGGCTTGCAGTAGTACAAGCAGAGGAGCAAAGCAGTTCAAATACGGTCCATCTCTCAAGGCTCCGGAAAAGTTACCTTTTGAGAGGACCGACAAGGAAAACGAGGACATCAGTCGTGCCCAAGTGAGGGACTATTTTGCACAAAAACCTCCACCTCCAAAAGAAATGATAGATCCGGTGAAAGTGGAGTGGACTATCGATGCCCTGAAGCGACCACCGCTGCCTCCGCCGGTTTCCAACTATGTGCGCACTGTTAAAAAGGCATATAAGGAAGCGGGGCGGTCGAGAAGTACTTATAGTGATGCAAGGTTAGCAGCAGGAAGAAATGGAAAACAAATTCCCTAGCTCGGCGGCGAGGAGTTGGGGTTGGAGATGACAGCCACGAGTGGTGGCTGGTGGCTAGTGGCTAGAATAACGGAGGATGGGGAGGGGAAAGACCCGACGGACCAGAAGGCACTTCAATAATAGAGTGGGAGTGAGAGTGACAGCTCCCAATAATAGAGAGAAAGAGAGCGTGGTCTGCTGCCTTCCACCCAATTTTTTCCCCACACAAAAGTTTCTCCAGAGACTATTGATCCATTAATTGCCAAGGACCATTTCTTTCAGCACCTTCCAGTCACATATCATGACTCCCAAACGAGATATCCTTTTTTTAAGGCCCTGTTTGGTTCATAAGTCCTATGACTTTTTTTAATCTCAACTTATAAGTTTCAAGTCCCTAAAAAGTCCCTACCTGTTTGGTTACGTTCCTGGGACTTATAAGTCCATATAAGACCATATTACAACTATAAGTCCCTATAAGTTCCTCCTTGAGAGTCTTATTTCATAAGTTCCAAATACCCATTTTAAATCCCTATAAGTCCCTCCTGTTTGGTTTAGATGGGACTTATAGGGACTTTTTTAAGTCCCTAGACCAATAAGTCCCTGAAAACAAACACCCTCTAAATGTCGCAAAACCAAAAGGAAAAAAATAGCCCTTTTTTTCTTAGTTTGTGGATAAGATTTTTTTTATATATTCTTGGTTTCGACTTGTACACAGATTAAAGAGGAAGTTGAGGAGACAAAAGTTAACAACAATGAATGAGAAGTAGCTCTATGTACACACACCAATTAGAAGAGACGAGAGTGATTATGTATTACCTTGTCAAACTCTGGAAGGCACACTACTCCTTGAGAAATACATCTACATCCTGGAGCAGCAGACGCAAATATATTCATTAGCACTGTCATCTGTCTGCATCACAATTACTACTCACCAACCAGTCAGTGCAGGGGCTTCAATGCTAACCACAATCTTATTCAGCATCTTAATAAAATCAGACAAAGACACAAGCAGAAAAAAAAATTATTTAAAGAGAACAGTTAGTACATGTTATAATACGACAAGAACAGCAGGCTGAGAGGCTGATTTAAAGAGAACTAGATCTGAATCCAAATTGCAAGAGCCAGAGAGGCTGATTTGAAACTAGATTTGTATCCAAGGAAGAAATCGTAGGATGACTGGGTTTGCTGTGCTAGCCCTTAAATCAAAGGAAAAGAAAAAGTGCGGCCCCATGAAATATGTTATTAGCGTGTTATAGCTAGCCTGCTATTAGCGGGATATTGTACAATGCTTTATTTAGCCAATTCTGTACATTGCTATATCGCGCGCGCTATTAGCAACATTATAGCGCGCTATTTTTTCCGGTGCTTTAGATAGCTCCGTACTCTAAATAGCTCACCATGGAGAGAGAGAAGCTTCAAGTAACCAGACAGCAAGAGCAAGCATCGACCGCGCCCACAAAGACGAGACAGGTCATGGCGGCTGCTGCTCTAGAGAAAGGCACGGCCTGCGCCGTCGGCCCCGTGCCGTTCAAGGACGTCGGCGGCGACGGGGAGGAGGACCAGAAGCTGATCTCCCCACCCGAAGAGTACACCAACATCATCTCCGCCCTGCCGAGCACCACCTGGTTGGACCAACGGGTGTTGAGGCAGTACCAGGGGAGCTGGCTGCACCACCAGATGGTCCCTGGGGTGATCTCCGTCCAGCGGCGCTTCACCGCGCGCCCCGATGACGTGCTCCTCGTGAGCCCGCCCAAGTGTGGCACCACCTGGCTCAAGGCTCTGTCCTTCGCCACCATGGCGCGGGCTGCCTACCCGCCCTCCGGCACCGACCACCCACTCCTCCGCCTTAACCCGCACGATTGCGTCCCCTTCGTGGAGGTTCTCTTCAGCGCCGGCCAGGAAGCCAGGCTTGAGGCGCTACCGTCGCCTAGACTCCTGCACACGCACATGCACCATTCCCTGCTACCACCCTCCCTCGCCCGCTGCAAAATCGTCTACGTCTGCAGGTAAGTAGTAAGTACAACTTCTGCGTGCTGCTGGGTGCAAGGACAGCAACTTAAAAACTCTTTCCATGCAATTGCAGGGAGCCCAAGGATATGGTGGTTTCCATATGGCACTTCGCCAAAAGCATCATGCCTGCAGGCGGCATCGCCTTCTCCTTCTCCGACCTCTACGAGTCGGCATGCCAGGGTAAGCACCTGCATGGCCCCATCTGGGACCACGTCCTCGGCTACTGGAGCGCGAGCAAAGCCAGTCCGGAGAGAGTCCTGTTCCTGAGGTACGAGGAGATGCTGCTCAACCCGGTCAGCACCGTCCGGAACCTCGCACGGTTTCTTGGTATGCCCTTCACTGCTGCCGAGGAGGCGGCCGGGACGCCGATTCACATCGCCGAGCTGTGCAGCATCGACACAATGAGAGGCCTGGAGACCAACAACACTGGAGCGGCCGGAGTTTTGGCCAAGTTCCCCCATGGGTCCTTCTTCAGGAAAGGGGTCGTAGGGGACTGGGTGAATCATATGACGCCGGAGATGGCCCGCCGCATCAACGCCATTGTCGAGGACAAGCTCCGAGGATCGGGACTCAGCTTCACGCCCTGACGACAAGATGCGGACAGATGCATGCCTACCTGCCTTAGCATATATTTCTACGCCAGTTTATGTATCCGATCCCATTCAGGTTTATTGTGCTGTGCTATGTGGAATATCAGGCCAACAAAATTAATGGGATGGTACGGTGGGTGGTAAACATAATTATTAAAAAAATTCAGAGAATCTAACATCAAATATTGTGATCTGAACGATCTTATATTTCATTACAGAGGGATTACTAAGTTAAGCTCAGTCCGGATATGTCTGTTTCGAATCTTTATTTTTCCATGCATGCAGCCGTGTCCCTGCAATTTTTGGATCGCATGGGTATATATGATCGGTCGGATGGAGAGAGAGAAAAAGATGGATTGATGGTATGCATCTCATCTATGGGATGCCAGTGGCCATCGGAATATTACACAACCACTGAATTTCCATTGGATTCCCATCAGACTGAGAGCATTCATGATTGTGCAAGAGATGGCATCACCTTTGTGCTGGTCGGGCCTCTTTAGGTGTATTCCACTAATTTCCTAGGATTGCATGGAGAGTATTCCCTCTGTCAAGTCCCACCACGTGATTGCATTTTCTGTTAGTAGGAGTACTTCTCTTTGCCAAGCTAGCTCCATGCATCATGTGCTGACCAGGACAGTGGAACCATGCGCTCTAGTTAATTAATTACTCCCTTCATTTTTTATATACAAGGCCATAAAATCAAATTACAGGTATTGAGGTAAAATTTAATGCATCATTTGCAAGTCAGTTTTTTTTCATTTACTATGATCATTAATAAGCCGCATGCATGCAATGAAGGAATACGACACTGAGCAGACGTTGAGCAAGGAAGTAGCATAGTGTTATTATGACAGCATGCATCAAGTATTAAACATGTTACTAGTATGACAAAATATCATTATTTTTGCCTCTGCATCACACGATTACTACTCATCATCACTGTCATCTCTCTGCATCACGATTACTAGCCATCAACCACTCAGTGCAGGGGCTTGAATACCAACCACAATCTGATTCAGCATCTTAAATAAAATCAGATTGGATCATCCATCTACGAAAAAATGTCAAAAATATAATATCACCATATGCAGCAGGCAAATTTGAGCCAAAGCACCATCTTCGCTCATGGATGAGAGGAAGTGAAATGGACCTCGGTAACTGATCGAGAGAGGGCAGAAAACATAGCTCCCTCCTCAGCTTCAGATATTTCACGTGTGAGTGAAAAGTGAGACCGAGGGAACACCAGCTGTCTGTTCATCATCGCTGTCATCTCTCCACATCACAATTACTAGTCATCAACCACTCAGTGCAGGGGCTTCAATGCCAACAAGAATCCGATTCAGCATATTAAATAAAATCAGATAAAAACACAAGCAGAGGGACTCGGCTAATTAAGCTGGTTGGTGCTCAATCACAGGCACGGAAAATATTCACCTCTAGTATGTACATATGCAGTTATCGGTCCAATAAAGATGCAGAAACGGGGGATTTTACTCAACTGAACTTAAGGGGGTGTAAGGATGTCACCTACCTTTGTTGGACCTGATGAAGTTCTCCTCCAGCGGCAGTGGGGAAGGAGAGCATCGACGGCCAGACTAAGATTGAAGCGCAATAGCGAGGGGATAGTGCATGCCATGCCAGCAACTCCAAGGAGATGGCGAGGATCCTCCAGTGGTTTGAATGCCTGGGCTAGAAGTGTCCCGCGTATCGCGATAGAATCAGTGAATCAGGGTCTTTCGCTCATGTGAGACAATTATATTGCACAGCAAATTCAATTTTTGTTTAATAACCAGTTCAGAGCCTTTGGCTAATGTAGATGCTTAAGAAGTGAAGAGTACCTATCAACCAGAGGGACCCAGGTAATTAAGCTTGTTGGTGCTCAATCACAGACACGGAAAATGCGTGAACAGTTAGTACCTGCAAAACAACCACATACAGTGACCCAAAAATGAGACGTAGTAGTAATTACTAGGCGATGCAGATTTCAGATCAAAAAGGAAATCCTACAACCTTTTTGAAGACAATTATTTATACTGGTAAGTAAGAATGAGGGTGTTTGGCTCATGTGTAAATATATTGCACAACAAAACAAATTCAGTTTTTGTTTAATAGCCAGTTCAGAGCCTTTTGGCTAATGTAGATGCTTAAGAAGTGAAGGGAGTGGCTATCAAGCATCCCCTACTTGAGGCCTCTCCTCAGTTTCTCTAGTTTTAGAGTTTGACCATGAAGTTAATGGTACAGGCATAGATAGATAGATAGATTTACATCAGGAATTGGAACTCTTCAACTCTGAAGGGCAATAAAAGAAACCCAGAAAACATTCACCTTTAGTATGGAGTAGTACATATGCAGTTTATCGGCCCAATTTAAGATGCAGAAACTGGGGATTTTACTCTCAACTGAACTGAATTTTGTCTACACAAAAAACTGAACTGAACTGAATTTTGTCTACATAAAAAACTGAACTGAACTGACTTTTGTCTACACACAAAACTGAACTGAAGGTATAACCAGCACAGAAAAAAGGGGGGATGTCGCCTACCTGTGTTGTGCTGGGTCTCATGCGCGACCGCGATGATTGACGCTCTCCTCCAGCGGCAGCGGCAGCGGCAACGGCAGAGAGCGTCGACGGCCGGACTGAGATTGAGTGAGGGGGCAGCGCCAAGGGAGGAGATGTGAGGATCCTCCGCTAGAGTGCCTGGGGAAGATGGGTCTCGCGAATCGCGATGGAGCGCCGGCGGGAGGGGGATTGGGGGCAGCCGAATGAGAGTGGCTCTGCTACTGCTATGCAAGGTCGTCGCTGGATCAGGATCCAACGGCCCTGATTGAGCACTACTCTCCCAAAAACAATAAGGTTGGCAAAAAAAATGGAAACACTCCTTTTTCTAATAACTTAACAAACAAACAAAAGGGTTGGCCCATCTAAAAAAAAGGGTTGGGTAGTCCTGTTATTGATCCACTTTGCAATAGCCTCATGGCCACTACAGAGAAATGGCACGCGGTTAGGGTTTAGGGTTAGGGTTTAGGGTTTAGGGTTAGGGTTTAGGGTTTAGGGTTTAGCCCGGGCACTAACCAAGACTTGTTTCACATGTAAGAAAAAGAAAACAAAAGAACCTCGGTAACTGAGAGGGGACAACCTAGCTCCCTCCTCGACTTCAATTATTTCTCTTCTTTTTCCGCGGGTAAAGCTTCAACTATTCCAACATAAGTGTGCTCTCTCTGCATAATAAGTATTACTCCAACCATTCCAAAAAAAGTGTCGTGGTTTTAGTTCATCCCTCAGTTCCCAAATAATTCTTGTCGTTTTAGTCATGAGACTTATTTTGGAACGGACCATAATGCCAATAACAGTCGATTCAGCTTCAAACGTTGTTTGAGGACAATGCTGCAATGCGGATGATAGATATAGAATGGATGGACTTGAGGACAACGTGCGAGCATCAGTCAAAATGGTCACCCAGCCTTGATGAGGACACGACAGAGATGAGGGCATCAATTAGGTTTAGGAAGCGGTTAACAATGGGCACACATGATGTCTAGGAGGAATGCTACGAGCGTGTTAAAGCATGCATTTGGCCAACTTCTCTCGAGGGGAGGGGACCTTGCAATAGGAACAGTAGAAATATTTAAGCTCCAACTTAAGTATGGTTGGCAGCAGCTTGAGTTGGAGCTCCAACTCAGGCATGGTTATCTTCTACTTAGAACAAAGTTGCAAGAAGCGTCCAGCCTTAACTTAATAAAGTGCCCAACAAGGAGAGTGCACATACAAAAGGTTCAAACAAAATATAAAAGCTACCCGAGAGGATCATCGTTAGGAGATCCAGCACGTGCATTGATTTGTCTAAGCTTGTGAAGCACCAACTCAATCATTCGAAGAAAAAAAGTTAAACAAGTATTTGAAAAATGTTAATTAATCATTTGAGAAATGTTAATCAAGCATTTGAAAAATATTTAATGATCATAGAAAAAATAATGACCATGTACTAAAAAAATGTCAAACTTGTATTCAAAAAAATGTTCATCAAGCATTTGAAAATGTTAAAATGTGTATAGAAAAAATGTTAACCATGTATTCAAAAAATATTAATCTTGTATTTGAAAATATTAATCAAGCATTTGAGAAATGTTAAAAACCTAAATAGAAAAAATGTAGACCATGTATGAAAAAATCTTAACAAAGCATTTATTTTTTAAAAATTTGTATAAAAAATGTTTCTCATGTATATGAAACATCTATTCAAAAAATATACAATGTGTGTGAAAATAGTTGATCACATATTTCATTTAAGAAAATGTTAAACAAGTATATCGAAAATGGTAATCAAGCATTTGAAAAATGTTAAAGTATACAAATGTTGACCATGTATTAAAAAATGTTAGTCTTATATTTGGATTTTTTTAATTAAGCATATCAAAAAGTTAAAATCAGTACATAAAAGTTGACAATGTATTAAAAAATGTTAATCTTGTATTTCAATTTTCTAATTAAGCATATGAAAATGTTAAAATGAGTACACAAGTGTTGACCATGTATTGGAAAAAATGTTAATCTTGTACTAGAATTTTTTTCATCAAGCATTTAAAAAATGTTTAAAATGTGTATAGAAAAAGGTTGAACATGTATTATAAAAGCTTAAACTTGTATTTGAAAAGTATTAAACATGTATACGAAAACATTTCTTGACGTACAGGAAATGTTAACTGAAAACCAAAAGAAACATAGGAAAACAAAAAAAACAATGAAAAATTGAAATGAAACAAAAACCGAAAGGAAAAGGAAACAAAAAAGGAAACTGAAGAAACGAGTGCAAAACAATGGGAAACAGTGAAAATCGATAAAGAAAGAAAGGAAATAATCATTGCAAACCAAGAAATAAACAAAAAAGGAAGAAAAATGAGAAGTAAAAAACCCGATGATAAATATAAAGAAAAACACATAAAAAGTAAAAAATCTGAAGAAAACCAGTGAAAAGGAAAGAGAAATAAATAAAACC